GGCGCAACTGCTTGGTGTGTTTTTTTTTATCGTGTTTCTTTTGCACTTCACTGCACACACACACACACACACACACGAATACTCAAAGACGCATACACTAACGCACACTCACTCACACGCTCCCGGGAGCAGAGGAGACTCGCACAGCACAAGCACACAAACACACACACACACTGAGGCGTGCATGCAGGCTCGCGCGTTCTCACCAACGTTTTTCTTATACACGCTTGCAAAACAATTTTCGTGTTAGCATTTATCACACTTCTTTTTTATTCTTAGCTTTCGCTTAACATTAAAAACAAACATTCTATCCATTTGCGCAATGCTGCGCTGCTGCTCCTGGCTGCAAAGAACAAAAAATTGAACCAAAAGTTGCGCGTAAATAAATTTGACATTAAACACAACACTGCAGACGCTCAGCCGCTCTGCTGCTCTGCTGCTCTGCCGCTGACAACGTTGACGTTAGGGCGCTGCTGGCATTTTGATGTTGCAGTTGTAGTGCAGGGTTGTCATACGTCGCTTATATTTTTGCACAGAATACGCACAATGGTATAGTTTCAAATATTAATGGGAGCATATAATAGAAAATAAAGAACATTTGTTGCTGCTGTTCCTTACACTTTGTTTATCATTGCACGTATGTTGTTCACTCTCTCTCAGCCTCGCTTGCTCTTCCACACATATACACACACTCTCTCTCTCTCTCGCGCTCACATACACACGCAATATGCAACACTGTGTGCGTGTGTGTGTATGTTACCAATTTGACATAAATTCAACAGCCGCGACGCTGACGTCGGTACGCGGGTAAATAGAACGAAGTACGCTACTAAAGATGGAAACCGATATTTTCACTCAATCTATTTGTCTTTATTTTATATAATGGGATTTTGTAGCCCAATTATAATACTTAAATATACTGCGCGTAATTATGTAAAGGTATTCAACAGCGCCTCCATCCTCAGACACACACACACGCATACATATGCAAACGTTGAGAAAAATGTATAAATTGCAGTAAAAACTTTTCACAGCACAACGGCATCGAAACCGATACGAGCACAGAGGCAAACGCACTTACTTTGCTATTCGGCACGCGCAAATTTTTGGGGCACTGTTTTAGTGCTCAGACGCGTAGACAGTGCAATGCACAATAATTCAATATATTGTGCATATTTCGGACAAATTTGATAATTTAATTTCGTTCACCAATCCGTGCCATTCCGTGCGGCCACGACAAAGGTTAAAATGAAACTGATGAAAGAGAGAGACAGCGCCAAACAGAGAGAAGAGAGCGACCCTGTCAGTGTGACATGTTGCTGCCCATGGTGAATGCGCGGTGTTTGTGAGCGAAAAATGTGACTGTCGCCACATGTTGCCTCAACATCTACTCATTTTGGTCCACTAATTCACAGCAGTGTGTACATGGCAAATGTACATGTGTGTATATGGCCACTAACCAGAGAACACATAGACCGGACACGTAGTGTAAAGTGTTTTGCACACTTTTTTTTTGACTTTACGACCCACACAACTTCGTATTTGCTCGGCTCCTCACTTTTAGGTTCAG